AGATGTAGCCTCACTCTATTGCCCAGGCTGGAGTGCAGTGGCACAATCTCGGCTCACTGCAACTTCTGTCTCCCAAGTAGTAGCTGGGATTACAGGTGTGCATACCATGCCCTAGCGAATTTTTGTATTTTTAGTGGAGACAGGGTTTCACCATGTTGGCCAGGCTGGTCTGGAACTCCCAACCTCAGGTGATCCTCCTGCCTTGGCCTCCCAAAGCGTTGGGATTACAAGCATGAGCCATCGTGTCCAGCCAGATTCATCAATGGCTTTCTCTTCGTGCCTTCATTCTTTCCCCGTTGGCCCCAAGAATACCAGCTGGTGACGCTTGTGGCTGCAGCATTTACCCCAAGACAATGTTGCCATGAAATATCTCGCCTTTATTATTATTTTTGCATTGCTCTAATATATCGACTTCGAAAACAAAAGAAGACATCATTCTACTTACAGCATTCTGTTTTTAGTACGGATCTTTCCAGATTACTATATTTTACAAATATGGTGTTTTTAATATACACTACGGTATATTTTACAACATATAGTAATTCTTGATTGCTGAAAATGTCAGATCCTAGAAAACATAACTTTCCTACGTGTGATGTTAACATCGTGCTCAAACAGTTATTGGCTGAAGATTTATTTGATAAATTCAATTTCCCAAAATAGACAATTGTGGGCTGGGAATGGTGGCTCACATCTGTAATCCCAGCACTTTGGTAGGCCAAGGTGGGTGGATCACGAGGTCAGGAGATTGAGATCATCCTGACCCAACATGGTGAAACCCCATCTCTACTAAAAATACAAAAATTAGCTGGGTATTGGGGTGGGTGCCTGTAATCCCAGCTATTCAGGAGACTCACACAGGAGAATTGTTTGAACCCAGGAGGTGGATGTTGCAGTGAGCCTAGGCTGACCCATTGCACTCTAGCTTGGGTGACAGAGCAAGGCTCCATTTAAAAAAAAAAAAAATTCTTTTTTGAATTGACAAATTAAATTGTAGATATTTATGGGGTACACCATGATGTTTTGAGATATGTGTAGACAGTGGAGTGGCTAAATTGAGGCAATAAACCTATCTATTCCTCTGCATGCAATTATCATTTTTTGTGGGAAGAATAGTTACATCAACCCTCTTAGCAATTTTCAAGGATATGTATGCTACATTGTTCATTGTTACTAACTACAGATCTCTTGAATATTTTTCTCCTGTTCAATTGAAATTTTGTATCCTTTGACCAACGTCTCCCCACCCACATCTTCCCCATATTCTTCTGATCACAGGATGCTGAGACCCTACTCTCAACATCCTATGAGGTCTCACAGGACAAGTATCTCATAGGTCTCAGATACCCAAATATCCACCTGGGGACTCACATAGATTGTAAAGAAAATGGTTTCCCCTGGCGCAGTGGCTCATCCCTATAATGCCAGCACTTTGGGAGGCCAAGGTGGGGAGATCACCTGAGGTCAGGAGTTCAAGACCAGCCTGACGAACATGGTGAAACCCTGTCTCTACTAAAAATACAAAAATTAGCAGGGCGTGGTAGTGGGCGCCTGTAATCCCAGCTACTCTGAAGGGTGAGGCAGGAAGATCACTTGAACCCAGGACGCAGAAGTTGCAATGAGCCGAGATTGTGCCAATGCACTCCAGCATGAGCCACAGAGACAGACTCTATCTCCAAAAAAAAAAAAGAGAGAGAGAGAGAGAAAGAGAGAGAGAGAGAGAAAGAAAAGAAAGCAAGAAAGAAAGAAAGAGAAAGAAAGAAAGAAAGAGAAAGAAGGAAGGAAGGAAAGAAAGAGAAAGAAAGGAAGAAAGGAAGGAGGAAAGAAAGAAAGGAAAGAGAAAGAAAGAAGGAAGGAAGGAAGGAAGGAAAGAGAGAAGGAAAGAAAAGGGTTTCCCTGGAGAAGTGTTTGCTCTGCAGAGACCACAGATGGAGCTCTCCTTTCCCATCGCCTGGAAATACTGGTCCTTGCTCTCCTCCTCTCCCAATAATTTCCTTTCAGGTAATGTTAGCTACTAGAAACGACTGTCAGAGGCTTGCACTTTCTCCTATAATCCTTGTTCAATGTATCCAGGAGTGTAGGCTCTAGAGGCACGTAGACTAATACGGTGATTTTAACATATGTCCACAAAATTTTTAATACTCTTCAAGTGGTAGAGACTAATCCCTCTCTCCTTGAACATGGACTTAGTGACTTGCTTCTCTTTTTTTTTTTTTAAAGACAGGATCTTGCTCTGTTGCCTAGGCTGGAGCACAGTGGCGTGATCATAGCTCACTGTAGCCTCCAAGTCCTGGGCTCAAGCGATCCTCCTACATCAGCCTCCCAAGTAGCTGGGACTACAGGCATGTGCCACCACATCCAGCTAATTTTTTGTTTGTTTGTTTGCAGAGATAGCATCTTGCTATGTTGCCCAGGCTGGTCTTGAACTCCTGGGCCCAAGTGGTCCTCCTGCCTTAGCCTCCCAAAGTGCTGAGATTACAGGC